ACTAATAATGTTACCTCTTTCCCCGCCATTGACGAGTTATCTCGTCTTTTAGAAGACAACGCTTCCCCGCCAAAGACGAGTTTTTACTGCTTTTCGTGTTTTCACTGTTATACACTCGGGGGTGCTATTACGCATCTTCTGAACGAGTACAAAACCTCCCGAACAAAAACACACATGAACAGGACGGAGAAACTAGCGATCTCTTATGTAAACAGATGTATATGAAAAATAATGCGATCATCAGCAATGGCAGCATATAAATGAAACTGCATAATGTTACGGAGTAAAATGTTGATCCAGGAAGTGGTATATGTCTGTGCAAGCTTTGGAGGTGTTGATGGAAGCGATTTACTGGATTTATGCTTTGATAATCGTACTGAATATTATCCAGATGTAATTTTGGAAAAAAATGTGATTTTCTCACCTTTTTGCTCAAAATTATAAATTTTTTTATGAAACCTACCTATATTCAAGTGTTGATAAAAAAAGAATGCTTTAAGCTAGAATAAAACAGATTTTTTTGTTTAAACGTAGAGGCTCTGATCTTTATGCATATTCAAATATTCATACAGCAAAATATACTGGAGGCCATGAACTTTTTGTGAAAATAATCAAAATCGCTGGCGGTGGCTGGCAACTTTTTAAAAAAATGCTGGCGGGGAAAGAGTTAATTTTTTAAAGGCATAGTCCAGCCAAATTTTTTCTAATTCTGTTATTATATACATTTCATATATTTCCCCATCTTTTTGAGGATGATGTGAGAATGGAAAGGTGTTGGAATAAAAGATCAGGTGTGACTGACGTCGAGTGAGAAGATTTATTTAGTTTTATATTTCCAGTTTTCGTTTTAATTTTAGAAATTTGTTATGTGCTTTTTTTATATTTCTATATAGCTTTAATTTTTATTTTTTTATTTTTAGTAATTTCAGTCCTTTAACTTGAACATATTTTATTTCACTTAGTTGCCAAGGCAATATTTCTAATTTATGTTTCAGTTTCTCAAGTGTTCCATCTAATATTTATATTTTATTTCAACTTTATTTCAATGAATGAAAACATTTTCTAAATAGTTTTAATTGTAGTTTTAATTACCAATAACAACAAAAATGAAGATCAGTAAATGAAAATAATTATACATTTTTAGGCAAACAATTTTTTTTCTTATTCTGAACGTTTAAAAAAAACTTTCTTAAAAAAAAGTGTTGTTTTTTTAGTAATTTTAGTACTTCGGTGTATTTCAGTTAGTTGCATTTTTTAAAGGCACAGTACAACAAAAAATGGAAATTCTGTGATTCTTTTCAGGGTGATTATGTTGAGGTGTGACTGACAGTCAGTCAGATCACAGTCATATTTCAGCAGCTTTAATGGAGTCGTCAGGTGAGAAAGCAGACGTTACCTCATCTGAGACCTTAAACCTCTTCAGCAGAGCCACAAACTTCTGCTTGATGTTCGGTTGCTGGAGAAAAAGAGCAATAAAACATCTACAGCACAATTCAGATAAAATACTCTGTTAAATCTGTCAGTATAAAGCTTAATGCCTTTTTTCAATCTTAAAGTACACTGTGAATGATTCATCTGAGTATGCAGTTATGAAGAAAAAATGAGATGAAAAAGATTCCATAAAAATGTAGGATTTCTTTATTTGAAGTAAGATAAAATGCCTCTATAAAGTGGCCTCTTTAATGATAATGGTGTGTGTTAAATGGAGCTCAGTGCGGTCGTTCATATTCATTAACGCAGCGATGCAGTGTGTCTTACTCTAGTAATGGAGGCGTTTGAAGTAAGTTTGCGCCTGGGTTTCTTCTTCCTCACCTCGTCCTCTTCATCATCTAGATACTGAAACACACACATAAGCCATTAAACACTCGTCGTGTGTGTGCATGCAGCCCTAAATGCCCCAAACACACACACAGACAGACAGACAGACAGACACAGACACAGACACACACACACACACACACACACACACAGACAGACACACACACACAGACACAGACACACACACAGACACAGACAGACACACACACACACACACACACACACACAGACAGACACACACACACAGACACAGACACACACACAGACACAGACAGACACACACACACACACACACACACACACAGACAGACACACACACACAGACACAGACACACACACAGACACAGACAGACACACACACACACACACACACACACACAGACAGACACACACACACAGACACAGACACACACACAGACACAGACAGACACACACACACACACACACACACACACAGACAGACACACACACACAGACACAGACACACACACAGACACAGACAGACACACACACACACACACACACACACACAGACAGACACACACACACAGACACAGACACACACACAGACACAGACAGACACACACACACACACACACACACACACAGACAGACACACACACACAGACACAGACACACACACAGACACAGACAGACACACACACACACACACACACACACACAGACAGACACACACACACAGACACAGACACACACACAGACACAGACAGACACACACACACACACACACACACACACAGACAGACACACACACACAGACACAGACACACACACAGACACAGACAGACACACACACACACACACACACACACACAGACAGACACACACACACAGACACAGACACACACACAGACACAGACAGACACACACACACACACACACACACACACAGACAGACACACACACACAGACACAGACACACACACAGACACAGACAGACACACACACACACACACACACACACACAGACAGACACACACACACAGACACAGACACACACACAGACACAGACAGACACACACACACACACACACACACACACAGACAGACACACACACACAGACACAGACACACACACAGACACAGACAGACACACACACACACACACACACACACACAGACAGACACACACACACAGACACAGACACACACACAGACACAGACAGACACACACACACACACACACACACACACAGACAGACACACACACACAGACACAGACACACACACAGACACAGACAGACACACACACACACACACACACACACACAGACAGACACACACACACAGACACAGACACACACACAGACACAGACAGACACACACACACACACACACACACACACAGACAGACACACACACACAGACACAGACACACACACAGACACAGACAGACACACACACACACACACACACACACACAGACAGACACACACACACAGACACAGACACACACACAGACACAGACAGACACACACACACACACACACACACACACAGACAGACACACACACACAGACACAGACACACACACAGACACAGACAGACACACACACACACACACACACACACACAGACAGACACACACACACAGACACAGACACACACACAGACACAGACAGACACACACACACACACACACACACACACAGACAGACACACACACACAGACACAGACACACACACAGACACAGACAGACACACACACACACACACACACACACACAGACAGACACACACACACAGACACAGACACACACACAGACACAGACAGACACACACACACACACACACACACACACAGACAGACACACACACACAGACACAGACACACACACAGACACAGACAGACACACACACACACACACACACACACACAGAGAAACACACAGACAGACACACACAGACACAGACACACACTCACACACACACACACACACACACACACACACTCACACTCACACTCACACACAGACACACACACACACACACACACAGACACACACACACACAGTGGACCTACATGGTGAACGGGGTCGTCGCTGCCCTCCTGCTCAGACGAGTAACTCTCCTCCTCTTCCTCTGAGTAGTTATCAATGTCTGGAGAACGATCTGAGCCAAAGAAAAAGAACAACACTATAAATTCCCTTTATTCACACTGAAGTGGCAGACGACAGTCACGTGACTCTGGAACACTTGACTGTGATTGGTCAGTGGCAGTGTCTCACCGCTCATCTTGGCTTTGGGTCCCTCACGGTCGATGGGCTGACTGGACAGAGAATAAACCCGGATCTCGGCCACAGGGACGGACACTTCCTTCAGCTGACTGTGCAGACCCAGGACCTGAGCGCCTTCGCTGGGGTGCTGCATCACCTGACAACACCAGCAATCATCAGTTCACAAACGAAGGAACGGCTGAGACTTGCAAAAATGCAATGCACTTGATGTCATTTTCAATTAAATGCATGCATGCAATGCACTTGCATTTTTGAATACTTTTATATGAAATTGACGTAAACACAGTCAGTTATATTTCCAGAGCAGGACAGAACATCTGATATATGGAAACAGATCTGTGCATTAGTGTGAATGCAGCCTGTTAAAGCTGCCACGGTCTAAGATCTCATCAGTAATAATCACACAGCAATAAAAAAATAACGATTGTCTGTAAACTTTCAGATAAAGGACGCTTATTTTAAATAAGTCATTGTTTTAAAAAAGTAGCCTGCTTATATATACATATATATATAAGTACATTTTGCACAAAATAAATTTGATATGAAAATGTAGCCATGTGCAGTAATATTGAAAATTGAGCATTGATGCATCGTGATATTGAGTTCGTGAAGTGACCAATGAAGATTCACACCCTATTTTTAAGATGACAGTACTGACTTACAGAGATTCCAATTAGAAACAAAAAGCAAAGAAACTAGAAAGTTGTGAAGATGTATTTGCACACAGCAGAAGAATTCCCACGCCTCACCTCTGCCATGTTGATGAGCCCGAGCGCCAGCGTCTTGTAGCCCAGGATGGTCCTGTTCTTGTACCTCTTCCTCCTCTGCAGCATGATCTGCAGCTTGTTGGCGTCTCGTTTCAGGAAGTGTGGATACTGCGAGGACACAGAGACGACTGTGAGTGTTGGTTTGAGGCCATACGCACGTGAAGAGACTGTGCTGACACTCACCTGTAAGGAGAAGGTGAGCTGCAGATCTGTCTCTGTTTGGCCGCTCGATGGCAGGAGGATCTCATTGGATCGCAGGATTCGCTTCGAGCCCTGAGTGAACAAACATTACACGCTTTGTCTTTAAGATCCGCAGAAGAGAGCAGAAAACACAGAAAGAGGACAGTGAGGTTTTATTCATGTTTTCGAAAGAAGTTTCTTCTGCTTATCAAGGCCGCATTTATTTGATCAAAAATATAGTAAAAACTTTGCAACTTTACAGATCTTCTTTATGCACCAAGAGCTTGTAACACTCCAAAGAGAAAGGAAAAATTGGAATCGCATCATATGACCCCTTTAAATATGATTACTACTTAAAATAGCTAATGTCTGTGTGACTATCTTTTAAAATGTAATTTATTTCTGTGATCAAAGCTGAATTTTCAGCATCATTACTCCTGTCTTCATTGTCACATGATCCTTCAGAAATCAGTCTAATATGCTGATTTGCTGCTCAAGAAACATTTCTGATTATTATTTAAAAAAAATAGAAAACAAAAAAATTATTTAAAACAGAAATCTTCTGTAACACCACAAATGTCTTTACTGTCACTTTTGATTAATTTAATGCATATTTGCAGAGTAAAAATACTGATTTCTTTCCAAATAGCTAAATAAATTACAAATAAATAAAAAAAATATATATATATTTTTTAACAGAATAACAATATATATGTAACATTATAAATGTCTTTACTGTCAGGAAGAAATATGTAAAATAAAAAATAAGCAAAATTAACAAAAATATATATAAAAAAAATAAACTGAAATAAATGCTAAATACTAAACTAAATAAAAACTAAATAGAAATAATACTTTTGTAAATAAATAAATACAATTACAAATAAAAAATGAATAAATGTAATTCATTTAAAAAAATTATTTGAAACCAAAACCTTTTGTAACATTATAAATGAATAAATAAATAAATAAATAAATAACAAATAAAAAATTTACAATATTGTACACAAATTTTGAAATATAAATCTTGTATAACATTACAAATGATTTTTTAAGTTAAATTAATGCTGAATAAATCTTTCCTCAATAAAAGTTATTTTCTTTGGAAAATAAATAAAAATTAAATGTAATATTAAAAAATACACACGCTTGTTGGTCATTTTAATAGAAACTGAATTTGCAGCGTGTGATATTTTGGGGCGGGACCTGAGTTTAACCATCAGGATTTGATTGGATCATAAAACGTGTGCTGTGATATTATTGGCTGATATTATTTTGCTGTTGTTTCAGATGAAGTGCACTGATGAATGGTTCACAATAAGCCAGAATGTGCATTAAGCGAACAGAGCTGATTTATGTTTCCTGTTAAATGAGAAGAACGAGTGAAAGAATCAATCACCTGCAGTTTGACAGCGATGACCACAGACGTCAGATCTTTATCCAGCTCCTTCAGCATCACCAGCTTCTTCAGAGTCAGATTGAAGAGCCTGCCAACACAAGTCCATGCAATACATCATAACTCAATTTCATAACTGGAAACAGCTTTCAATCAATCCCTTCTAATGGGACTGATGTAGTTTTGGTCTGGTTTCTGAGGGTCAGGGAAGGTTAGCGAGTTAATTATTTACAGTCGCTCTCGCTGCTG